GATACCATGAAGCCACACTCAGAAAAGAAGATGAGCCACAGAAAAAACTTGGGTTCCCGATAACATTATTGAACTGCTTTATTAACCAATCTTGAAGAGCATCCTATCTTGCAACTTGCACTTAGTGAGACAATAAGTTTTTCTATTGTTTGTGTTGAGTTTTTATGACTTGCTACCATAAGTATTCTACTGATATCCTGTCTGATTCCAAAATTCCATGCTCTTGACTACAAGTGAGAAAAGGCTATGAAAAATAGCAGTGACTAACATTTATTTGGTAGCTACACTGTATCAAGCATTCTGCTGGGTGCTATCTACATATGTTACTTTATCCCATTACTTAAAACCCTATTAGCAGTTTTGTTTGTATTTTGTTACCATCATTTTAAAGATTGAGGAACTAGCTGCTTTTAGTGGTGAATTAACTTGCATAAGATCCCACAGCTAATAAGAAGAGATTAAATTTGGGTCTACATTGGTCTATCTCCAATCTCTGAGTTCTATATCATATCTAAATCCTAACTCTGAGGCTGCTGCCAAGATGAGGCCTGTGATATTTTTCCCTTCCTATGTGCACCAGCAATTTTTCTCAGCTTGTTAACTTATCTACTTGAAGGAAATTAATTTCGTTTTTCTAAGACCTGTGAAATTTCTCTGTTCTGTCATCTTGCTTCCTTTTTATATAAGTACCAATGCCATCTTTTCCCTTTCCTCTTGTAAGAGGTTTCTGACTGAATGTTTCTTTGACTGAGATATGTTTAGCTCAGGTTCGGCTTAACTCCTGAAGTCAGGAGATCTGTGTTTTAATCTTAACCCCCCAAATCACTGACTTTAGGACCTTGGTCCCCATAATAGTATTTTACTATGCTGTCTTGCTATATTTTTATAGGGTAGATCTCCATTCATATGTATTCAAACTAGACTGTAAATTCAGAAGGATGGATGGAGAATTCTGTCAAAAGTTACAAGAAGACACAATCAAATTGGCCAGGAACAATCTTTGCTAAGATTTTTCCATTTATTAACTTTTTGAACTACGAGTCTTAATTCTCATACATATCATCACCTCACAAAAGCAGGGTAAAGGGACTTTATTGTTTCTTCATCATGTGGACATGTTGCAGCAAAAACTCATAATTTACTATTGGATTCCATTATATAATGTTGAAACTGTTTATCAACATTGGACAATTGGTATTTCCCCCAACCCCTTTACAAATGGCCCATCAAATATTCCCGATAATCCAAAAGGAAAGAAAAAAAGAGACTTGAGATAGAACAAAATAAAAATTATACATCTGAGTTTTGTTTTTTTTTTAATTTAAGGACTGCATAAAAGATTATGCTTTAGTGCTGAATCATAAGATGTTAGCTGCCATCTTGAATTTACTCCATTACCTTGATGGGGGGGTTATAGCTTTTCAAAGTCTAATTCTCAATTCAGAAAGCCCTTAGGAATGCCACCTAAATCCAAATTCAATTATGAGTTTGGAAACAAGGCCTCAAATTAAGTAAGAGGAAATCCATGTTAGCAGCTACAAGATGTCACGGTTAAATTTTTAAACTCTGGGGACCTTGGGTATTGCTTGTTTTTTATTGTCCTTTTTAAAAAGTAAGAATGGCTTTGGTTTTACTGAGTAACTGTTTTGAAAGAGCATAGAAGCAGAAAGAAAAACCTAGATTAGTATCAGTTATCTGCTTACAAAAAGGGACTAGAAATGTATCTATTTAAATGATCAAATTTTGTGTATCCTAATTAGTCACCTTCACTAGAACATATGGTTCACATGATGCTGGGAGGCTAATATTCTACTTCTGGCTTTGTTTGAATACCAGGCCCTGTCCCCTTCCACCATGGTCCTAATATGTTTGGAAGAAGGAGATGATTTCAAAAA